TGCTTCGACTTTTAACCAAGACTTTTCACATTTTGGATCTGCATAATAAAATATCGCTTTTAATTGTGCAGCTAGGAAGTATTCCTCTAAAGATGGGAAACCAAGACCTCCTTGCTTTACTGGTTTATTTAGGTGGGCAAATTTAATGTGAGACTTTTTGTTATTCCAAATTAATTTAATTAATATTGTCTTCCATTCCTTGAATTCTTTGTTAGGGATAGCAATTGGCAAATTCTGGAACAAGAATAAAAATTTAGGTAGTATTATAGCCTTAAAAAGATTTACCTTTTCTAATAATGATAAATTCAATTTCTGCCAATCCTTTAATGTTTTCTTCATTGTACTCACTAATGGTTGATAATTGGCACTTATCAAATCTGATAGTTTCAATGGAATGTTGATACCTAAATGCTTCCAATGTTTAATTACACATTTAAATGAATACTCTGATGTCAGTTTTAATTTTTCCTCATATGTAACATTGAGAGGATATAGTTCAGATTTGGCATAATTTATTTTAAATCCTGAAATCTCACCAAAATTATTAATAAGATTTAATAAGATTGGCTAGGATCTTTTAAATAAAAAATAGCATCATCTGCAAATAAACTCATTTTGCAGGTTTCTTTACCTATTGTAATTCCTAAAATATCTGGATTTTCTCTAATGGCATATGCTAATGGCTCTATAGACAGTGCAAACAAAATTGGGGACAAGGGGCACCATTGATGGGTGCCTCTAGTTAATTGGATGTCATCTGATCTATAATTATTTACTGAGATTTGTGCTATAGGATTTTGGTAAATTGCTTTAATTGCATTAAGAAAAGTTGGGCCAAAATTCATATATGAAAGCAATTTCTGCAAGTACCTGGGTTCAACCCTGTCGAACGCTTTTTCAGCGTCCACTGATAAAATTACTGAATTTATCTGCTTATTTCTACAGCATTCTATAATATTAATTGTTTTCCTAATATTATCTGTTATTGTCCTTCCTGGCATAAAACCGGCTTGGTCTTTGTGTATGTAATGATTTATTAGATTATTTAACCGATTAGCTAAAACTGTTGACAATACTTTGAAATCATGATTTAAAACTGATATGGGGCGATAAGAAGAAGGGAGTAGTTTATCTTTACCAGGTTTTGGAATCACTATTAAGACACATCTGTTTAAAGACAATTATAAATAACAAGCAGATAGCAAATGCATCCCCCCCGTTTCTTCAACCAGCCCTGGTTGAGGGAAGAAATCATGAGACCCGGGTTTGTTTGGGGGGAGGGGACGGGGACAAAAAAAGAAAGCAGCGGTACCTCCAGCCCACTGGCCTTTACTTCCTAACAGGAGGCACAGCCAGTAGGCAAAAAAGAAAAGAAAACAACATACAGACACAACTCCTAGACCCTCCAATCACCACTAACCAAACACAAGTAGAACTTAAAACAGAAGTTGAGTTTAATTCAACAAAGAGAGATGGGGAATCAAAGCAGGACGCACATACACAAAACTCAAACTTAAGATAACACGACTTAAAGCTGGAACGAGATCTTTCACTGTCTCACTAAGGCCTTCTGAAAGTCTCTTACACTTTGCGTGCTGTGGCTTGCCCGGCTGTGGTGGTGGTGGTGGTGGTGCTGCTGCTGCTGCTGTTCTTCAGGCTTTTTGTATTGCTGCAGATCTCTGGAAGCTGCAACTCTCCTGATTCTCCTTCTCCAGTCACCAGGCCCGTAGCTACAGTGGGGCATTTAGGGGCCCTGCCCCACAAATAGATGTGCCAGAAACCTTATTTTTGAGGAGAGACCCCCCCCCAGCGGACAGGGTGAGACACAACTTGCCTTCAGGCTTCTCTCTCCCTCCCACTGTGGAATTGGGGGGGGGCATCATGGGACCTGGGAAAAAGACACCTCAGAGGTCATTTAATTGCCTTCAGAAGTCATTTCAATGCCCTTTGAGTTCCCTTCCACAGGGCAAGAAAGCTTAGAAGGGCACTCAAGAGTGGCATCTTCAATACATCTCCAACAATCCACATCTCCATCAATCCCCCTCTCTGCTTGCCCAAACCTGCTGTATACCACCTAGGTCATGGTGAGTCTTTCAAAAGCATTCCCATGAGCCTTAGGGAAACATGCAAATTCATTTGAGTGTCCTTTTAAGCTTTCTTGCCCTTAGAAGGGAACTCAAAAGGCATTGAAATGACATCTGAGCTGTTTTTTCCCCAAAGAACGGACACACTTGCTGCCCCGTCCCTTGAAAGGAAGGGCTAGAAACAGGCTCAGAGCCTCCCCCTTTAAAGACAGGCATTCAAATTAATTTAATTAACTGTAATTTAACTGCCCCCTTAAAAATTTAAATGCCCCCTGGCAATGCTCCCTCTAAGCTGTGGAGTGTTGTGAGCAAAAATTCTCCTTTGTGAGCAACTGGCATTAAAGTTGTGAGCGAGCCATTTGTCTACTGCATAAACTAGTTTGCTCTGGAGCCATCCCTTCCCGAGTTAAGACAAAAATGTGTGAGCAGGAGGCTAAAAAACGGTGAGCTGGCTCACACTAACTCAGCTTAGAGGGAACACTGCCCGCTGGACAAAAGAAGTCCTGGCTACAAGCCTGCTGGTCACTCCGTTCTCTGCTCTCGGACCTAAATGGCTTCCATCTAATTTTTTTTCCTCCTCAGAATTATCTCCTTTTCCTCAGAACTCTCTTCTTTCCACTGAGGACTGTCCTTTCCCTCAGGACACTCCTACATCTCTCCCTTGGGAACAAAATACCTTCCCTCCCAGACTCCCAATAGAGGGCCAAACCCACAGGGTTACACAAACATGGCAAAGGAGAGAGAATGGGTACAAGTCGTTAGTACCTGGGGATCTAGAAAAGAATGTTTTCTGGTAACTCAGAAATAGAATTTTCTCTGTCTTAATTCATGAGATCGTATGAATGGGATGGGAACAGAGAGGCAAAGGGCATGTTGAACTCTGAACCAGGCTCACAGAAAAGATTCAACTATCCATGGTCTTTGCAGAGATGGATTTTCACATTTCCCCCCTCCTGCTGCAGCTCACAGATACCCAAATATGGTTTCTGGGGGTCTGTGGATCCCCAGGAATGGCAACAGAAAGCAACGTGAAGATCTCCAGGGAATCAGCAGAAATTGCCAGCCTCTCTTTCACAAATGGAAATGTCGTTCTGTCAGTGGATTTGTCATCATATATATCATATGCACACACTCAAATTACAGAAACCTGGATCAACACAAACTCGGTCCTAGGTGGTATAGTGGATAGAATGTCA